GGCCTTGTTTCCTCCCCTGCTGCCCCTTCTGTCTTCATTTTCCTCCCTCCCCAGCTGAAGTTCCCTGGTCCATCATTCAAGCACTCTTCTGCCAACATCGCAGCTCTCTTGGCTGCCCATCTCTTGGTCCCGCCCGGCTGGCAGCCCCCCAGCCCTGGAGGAATCCCAGCCAGCCTCCAGCCTGAGGCACCCTCCCCCGCCTCTGCTGCTGGGAGCTAAGCTGGGGGAACCAGCCAGCGTTGAGCGGATGATCCCCGCTGCCAGACATGCATGTAGACCAGCTCAGCTGGCCTTGGCTTGTCCCTGCCCAGCTGGCCACTTGCTCTCTACTCAGCATTCTGCAGCACCCCCGGAAGGGTGGGAAGACTACCTCCCCATATTAAACATCATCCCTCTCCCACCCACCAGCCGTCTCTCTGGGCTGATCGCCTACCTCTCTTCCACAGAGACCATAGAGGGCAGTCCTCCCAGCACTGCATCTGTACCCCCCAACTCCAATCCAGTGGCAGAGGCACCCTTCCCTTGGGTCCTTCTGCCAATGTCCTTCAGCCCATGCCCTGGACCCTAAGTGGCCATTCATCTGCATTTCTGTCAGTTCAGCCACCTTCCTTTCCAGATTCTTCCTGTCAGCATCTTAAAAAACTCAAATCTCTCACACCATTAAAAACCATAAGTCCTAAACTTTTGTATTCACTGACTGTTCTCTCACGTCCCTCCATCCTTTGAGTCTCCAGTTAGCTTCCAGCAGTCTCATCACTCTACTGCAAGGCGCTGGCTAAGGTTAACACTGATCTTCATGTAGCCAAGGTCTCCAGGCCTAATCAAGAGCCACACCTCTCTCAACTGCCCCCAGCAGTCTTCTTCCTCTCACGGTGTCTCTCTGATTTAATGCCTACTTCCCTGGCTGCTCTTCTTCCTCCACTCCACCTCTTCTACCTCTACTCTGGCTTATCCCAGGAGTAAGGACTGCTATTGTAGAAAGGAGTGAACCCTTCTATAGGGACCCATCTAGGGGATCTCTTCCCAGCTGGGGATTTAGAACTGGCTTCCCTAAGGAGGTGGCTATTTAGCTGAGGGGAGAGGCATTTAAAGGAAGAGCTGGGGGAGGGGAGTTCTAGACTGAGGGAGCCATACTTGTCTTGAGCAGATAGAACGTGAAGCGCATACCCTAGAGATGTCCAGAAGAAGGTAACCAGAGAGGAGAGTGCAGTCCCCCAGGTGGTGGAAGTGTCAGCTAGAGGCTCCATCCTGGGTGTGAAGACTTGAGGGAACAATGCCATTGCTGCCCACAGGCAAAGCCGGTCCAGTTAGGGTGGAGGTTGGGACCACCACAGAAATCACCTTAGCTCCATCCCTCAAAGGAATCTCTTAGTTGCCTTTGGAGCTGCCCCAGGGTGGCCAGAACAGGCTTTTGCAGGAGGCAGTGATTTCCATGTCACTGAAGAAGTGCAATCAGAAGCTGGTCAAGACCTCCTATGCCCTCCCGTGGTGAGACACAGTGTCCAGTGGTTTTGTAGATCCCAGCCAACCTTCAGCCAACGCACATTACCAGTATCAGCTCTGGGCTAGGCCCAGTGCCAAAAGGGAGGGAGATATATAGATGCAACGGGATGGGGGCTGGTGGTGGTGTAGACAGCTCCTGAATAGGCCTGTGAGTAGCTGCCACAGATGGAGCCAGGGGTCAAAGAAGGCTTCCCAGCACTGAGAAGACTCCAGGATCAGGTGGGGTTAGGGAATCCACTTGGGAGAGTGGGTGGCCAGAATGGAGGCAGCTGCCTGGCATGAACAGACAGACCCTGAGTGAGAGAGGTCTTCCTAAAATAGACTGTCATTAGTCATATGATCTTGAAAGGATTCAGTTCAAGCTCGTGCAGTAACATGTAATATGTCACTGTACTAAAGGCTTCTTCCAGGCCCAGCCATTAACTTGCTGTGTGACTTGGGATAGAGTTTCTATTAGAGTTTTTTGGCTTTGGAGGGGGTCTTGACCTAGGCTATTCCATGATGGTTTCCCATTCGGGAAGCCAGGAGAGTTGCTTGTGGGAGAAATGAGTTTGGTCTCTAGGGATTCTCAGGTGGGCCCCAGAGACCTTTGTCCTCAGATGAGTGAGCCTCCCTGAAGGGGGCCATCCCCAGTGTGCAATACCTGCCTGCAGACCAGGTGCCCATTGGCAGAGCCTGGGCATAGTAACTTACATCATCTGGGGAAGGTAAGGTGCCATCTTTCTTCTGTACCAGGGGCCTCAGTGCTACCAGCCTGGAGTGGGCAGCTGGAAGGAGGCTTTATCCCCAGACAATGGCCTCAAGTGCCCTGTGGGCTTATTAGCACACTTGCCATTTTCTCCAGGACATGTTGCTTCAGCCTTGGGCCCTGCTTGGGCCCTGTTGCATCAGGGTTCCTTAGGCTTCCCTATCCTGGCCCTCCAGCCCTCATTGTCCACAACTAGTGTTTCTGGGTTGACGGCAGGGTTTTTACAGGCTAGGGCTATAGACCTGCTATGGTTTCTGGGTCCTGAGTTAGACCTGGCTCCTGCCTTGAGGAAGAGCCAGAACCCACAGTTTTCCTAAGCCTGAGGGAGAAAAAGTAGGAGCTCTTCAAGGCCAATAAGGCTTAGGTAAAGTGGGAGAATCCAACTGCACCTATGGAGTGGGAGAGGATTTTAATGAGGGGAAGATCAAGGCTTCAGGAGTTCTTTTATGGGCCATGCTACAGTCATCCTGATTGCAGAAGGGAAACAGGCTTGACAGCTGGTATGCTGACAGCATAGCTTGATATCTCTTCACTTTTCACCCTGGGTGAGTCTCTGAAGACTCAGATGTGACTGAGCATAGATACTGTTACTAATAGCTCCTGCTGGGAGCTATGAATGGACAGACTGGCAGGGGTGCTGGCCTCTTCATCAGCACCAGACTGGCCCCACCACTGGGATGGTGAGAACATGGAAGTAAGCCATGCTGTTCCAGCAGGTGGCGCCAAGGGGCACATCAGAGGGACAGGGCTTGGCTAGGGACTCTGAAGACTTCTTGTAGGAAGTGGCTTCCTAAACTCCAACCCACGATTTCTGTGGGCCCAAGTTGAATCTTCAAGGCATAGGGCAAGGGAGGGCCTCCAGGCAGAGGAATATAGACTGCCCCATTCTCACTCCATGAGGGCCTCTTTGGCCTGGCGGGCAGCCGCTTGTACACTCCTCAGCTGTCTTCCTCTGAAGGGAGATGCTGACCAGCTGGAACCTCATTCTCTCCTATTGAGGCCAAATGAGGGGAGGACTGGCAGAGTGGCTTTCTAGGGGCCAGGAGGCAGCTGCTGAAGCCAGGCATGGAAGAGGAGGATTTCCCTGTCTGCTGAAGGCCTTGGCCTTGGGAGAGAAGCAGACAGCTAGGCCTGTGTCATCTCTGCCAGGCCTGCCCTGCCTCCTTTTGCTCAAGAAAGAGGATTCTGGCTCTCATTGGGCAGGGGAGAGAAGCAAGGGCTGCTGCTATAGCAACTTCGTAGTTGACCTATGGGGAGGGAAGTGCTGGTCCTGGCACAGGATCATCCAAGGCTGGCCTAACCTGGGTTAGAAGGGTGCCTTGGAAGGGGCTGGGGGTGTGTGATCACAAGCGACCCTTACTTGGCTCGGTGTTTTCCTTGGTGCCAGCTAAGATTTCTAGCAGGAGAGGCTGGGGTTAGCCAGGGGGTGCAACCACCAGCCCCCACATCTGCTGTCAGGGCTGAAAAGTGAGTCATAGCTGGTCTGTTCCATATCACTGAAGGGACAGCAGCAAAGCCAAACAGCAGAATCTTCCCACAAGGTCTCCTCTGAGGTGGGGCCAGGATCCTGAGGTACCTCCCTTGGGCCCTGACCCAGCCCTACTCCCAATATAAACAAATACCCTAATTTGTGGGCATAAGGAGTGGGGAGGTTCAGAAAAGGAAGACTGGCTTTTGGGGATCCCTGTGAGAAGACAAGGCCAGATGGGGAGTGTGGAGCCCTAGGGCCTGGGAACCCTGGACATGAGTAGAGGTGTGTGGACACTGACCATGGGGACAAAGAGCTCTTCTGTCTTATGGTGTGACAGGCTGGTGCCTGCACTCCGTGCCTTATTTCCTCTGATGGTTGGTGTTGCAGGTGGTTGTGGAATCAGTTGGATAGTACAGGTCTAAGAGGTACGCTGTTCTCTCCCTTCCTGTCCAAAGGGTTGTGAGAGCATAAAAGAGCATTTACAGAAGCCTTATGGCTGTCTCAGGGAACATGATGGCTAGAGTGGGGCTGGATGAGGTGTAGGATGTGGTGTGTAGCATGATCCTGGGGTACATGAGATTCCAGAGGCATCAAGGGCAAGAGGAATGTGTTGTCCAGGGTAGCGAAGATGCAGGCTGGGGCCAGAGACCAAGGCATAAAGCTCTGGACCTCTTGGTGGTTCCTCCACTCTGCCAGCTCTGTCAGGTCAGGGTCAGAAGGCTGGCCATTTGGGCCTCTTGGCATACAACTGCAAGTGGGCCCTGCCTGAAGCCCTCAGTGTGAGAAGAGGGGGCCTGTGTCTTCTCAGCACACATCCTGTAGCTGACCCAGCCAGACTGGGGGAGGAGAGAGGGCAGCTGCCTGGCCCTAAGCCCAGGAGAACAGAGGTCGTAGCAGGGTGCTGGGCTGGGTGGGAGCTGGGGGAGCGGCAAGCAGGAGGAGTGGGGGTCAGGCCAGGACAGGAGCTGTGACTTCTTCCTCCTGCTGCCTTTGTGGAGGGCCCCGTGGGAGCTTCCCCAGTGGCTAGCCCTCTGAGCTAAAGCCTGGGCCATCAGCCTCCTTCCCTTTCTTCCTTTGGTATTGGGAGGCCATTCCTACTGGGGGTCTTCCTTAGACAGCCTCAGCACTGGTGCTCAAGATATCGTCACAGGACAGGGGCTTGGTTGTGGCTCACCCAAAGCTCAATGGGACTGTGTTCAGTGCCCAATTCAGGGCAGCAGCCTTCACCCCACCTCTCACCCTTCAGCGAGAACCCCATTCTGGCCTTGGAGGATGTCCTCCCCCAGGCCTCATCCAGCTCCCTTGTCTCCTGAATTCATCAAGAGTGACAGGCTAGAGGAATGTTGTGGCTACTGAAGCCTGACTGTGGCCCTCTCCCCCTCTTTAACCTATCCCCACATAGGTGACTACACAGAATTCTTTGCTTAGGCCCTTTGTGGCATTGTCTTAATGGCAAGAGGCAAAGCTGCCTCTTGCCAAGTCTTAACTGGGCAGCTCCATCCCTCCCCAGCTTCACAGCCCCCTCTGCTGCCCATGTACTGTCCAGAACAGAGAGTGAGTGCTGGAGCGCAGGGAGCCTCGGCCTGGGACTGACCGGAGCCCAGCCTCCTGTCCAGGTCTCTGGGTCTCCTCTAGGCTCTTCTGGGCAGACACCTGGCCCTGGCCTTGAGGAGGCAGCACTTTGTCTTTGGAGTGGGCTATGCAGGGCTGCTGTCTGCCTGCTCCATCTCTGTCTGTCCTGGGGCCTTACTTCAAAGGGGCCCTCCCACTGGCCTTCCCTAGAGAAGTTTCTCTCCACCCTATTCCTCAGCCTCTCCTCTCCTTGACATTTTCCCCTCCCTCTCTGTTCCCACCCAGCAGCCAGTGTGACCCTAACTGGACTGTATACTCCCTGCTTACATCCTGCTCGTGGATTCCTCTTGCTAAAAATGAAGGCAGGACCCTCAGCTCAGCCTGCTGGACCAGTCGCCAGGCCCCAGCCTGCTGCCAGTACTGCCCTTTCCCTCTGCCAGCCCTGACTGTGCTCAGTTCCTTGAATGTGGCTGCCACTCAGTGAATGCCTCTAAGCCTTTGCATACACCATTCCCTCTTCCCAGAATCCACTTTTATCTCCTAGTTCTTTCATCTCCCAGGCTGACCAGTACACCTCACCTCCATATGCCCATGGTTCCCGTGTCCTGCTAGAACACTGTTCACACTATGGGGTAGTTACCTGTTTCCCAGTCGCTCATGGGGCATGAATTCTACCCTCCCCCCACCAAGGGAGGGGCCATGTCTGTCTTGTGCTCTTGGTACTGGAATAGGAGGCACACTTGGGCAGGGAGATGGGCCAGTGGCGCTTATCTGCAGCACCCTTGAGACAGCATTCATTGTCAAGAAGCTGGTGTCCTGTGCAGTGTGGGGAGAGGGGCGTGGTGTCCGGACTTCCAGCTGCCCTCCCCACCGTGACGGGCTGCCTGCTGTTGTGTGCCTCCCATAGTTACAGCTACATGATTGACAACGTGATCCTACTCATCACGGGCACGCTGCACCAGCGCTCTATCGCCGAGCTTGTGCCCAAGTGCCACCCACTAGGCAGCTTTGAGCAGATGGAGGCCGTGAACATTGCGCAGACACCTGCTGAGCTCTACAATGCTATTCTGGTGGACACACCCCTGGGTGAGCTGCTGAGATGGAGGAGGGAGGAGGTGGGCATCAGTGTCAATGCCTCAAATGTGAAGTTTGCATATCCCTGGCGTGACCCTGAGCCAGAATGTGAGGCCTGCCCTCTGCTGCCTACCTTTATGTTCCCCTCGACTTCCCCTCCCATCCTCTCCTCCTCACACTGCCTTCTCCTTTACTGTTGCTTTGTTGGACCAGGCAAGCTACCCCAAGGGCCTGACTCAGACTATCTGTCTTTGTGAAACTGAATGATTTTTCAGAATGCAGAAGAGGGCTGAGCTCAGGGAGAGTGGAGAGAGGCCCGGGTCCCTATCAGTGGAAGCGCTGATAAACTGTGGCCCCAAGCAGGGTGGGAGCGGCTGGCTTCCCATGAGCACAAGAGGGAAGCAAATAGCTTCACTTGCTTCTACCGAACAGTCCCAGGGGCCAGGTCAGGCAGTGTCCGGCAGGATGCAGGGTTCATGTTAGAGGCCAAGGAAGGGGAACTGGGAGCTTCCTGCAGGGCCCCGCCTAGGCAGCACTGGCTCTTGCCTGCCGTGGAGGCTGGGGAGAAGGCATTAAGGCCATCATCAGTGGGTGCCCTCATAGCCAGGGTCCTAGTCCCCCGGGCACCACCTCCAGGAAGCCTCCAGGGTTGAACAACTAGGCCCTAAGTTGCACTTAGTCCTGCACAAAGAGGCCTGAGCCATGCCTTCTTATCTGTCATAGAGTCTCCCATTAACTCTGAGCTAGTTCTGGGCTGTTTGTGGCTTCTTCAGTTTATCCATCTTTAAAAAAGAGACCAGTGAGTTCACAGGCTCCCCTGAGGATGGGGGAGCTATATCCTGCTCTGGTCTCTACTTCTAGCTCAACAGTGTCCCCTTGGGTCTCTGGTCCATGCCCACCCAGCTGTTGAACTCATTCATCGTCCTAAGGGGAAGGAGGCTGGTTTTCCAAAGGTGAGCCTTAGGCAGAGAAGTGAGCATCAAACCCCAAATTCACAGCAGCCCCTCAAGAAGGGAAGATGTCACGGCCTCTTATGCAAGCCTGTCTTTGGCATGGTCTGAGCTTGGGTCTGCCCCAACGGTGATTAGATCATGTTATGGCTAGCTGCCTCCTTTATAAATCAGTTTTAGGAGCAAGAAGGCAGGAGAAGCTCAGGTCAGTGCGTATAGCCTAGGGCAGTGGTCCCCAACATTTTTGGCACCTGTGAGGATTTAATGCCTGATAATCAGAGATAGAGCTGAGGCGGTGATGCTAGCACTAGGGAGTGGCTGCAAATACGCTGGCTTGCCCACTGCTCACCTCCTGCTGTGCGGCCCAATTCCTAACAGGCCATGGACTGGTACTGGTCCGTGCCCCAGGGCTTGGGGACCACTTCCAAAGCAATAGCCTAGGCCAGGTTAGGGAACCCCCAGTACCCAGCCAGATGAGCATTGTGGCAGGGGCCCTCTGTGCCCTGCACGGGTAATTGAACATTAGCAGGATTCTTACCTAAGCTACATCTACTCTCCCACCCCTCACACCCAGTCTTTCCTCCTCAGCGGCTTTTTTCCAGGACTGCATCTCAGAGCAGGACCTCGATGAGATGAACATTGAGATCATCCGCAATACGCTCTACAAGGTAGTACTCCCCCGCCTCCCAGTGAGCAGTGGGGGTTTGACTTGCAGGTTGGCGGACTGTGGGTGTGGTCGGCCTGTGATTTATGTGGGGTGCTGGGGCAGGATGCAACTGCACCAGGCTCAACCCCGGGGGCTTATCCACTCACTTTCTGGCTCCCGCGATGGGCACAAGGCTTCATAGAACAGGTTCTCCATCCCGTGGCGCCCACGGCAGACCCAGATAAGATCACCAGGAGTGGCGGGTGCTCCACAGCTCGGCTTGTCAGAGCTGGCTCCTGGATGGCTGTTCTCCCTGCATCCAGGAGGGTCATGAGCCACCACCCAGGCTATAGCTCTCAGGCTCACCCCACCTGGAGTGTTGCCAGCAAGGACAGGCACTTGAGCAGAGCCTACAGTGTCCTCAGTTACAGTGAGGGGAGGGACCCAGCCAGGCATAGCCAGGTCCCCGTGTCCCTCTCAAGTTCCAGGGTGTAGAGCCAATGCCACATCACATCACACCATCCTCATCCCCTACCTCATCCCCAGGCTATAGCTCTCAGGCTCACCCCACCTGGAGTGTTGCCAGCAAGGACAGGCACTTGAGCAGAGCCTACAGTGTCCTCAGTTACAGTGAGGGGAGGGACCCAGCCAGGCATAGCCAGGTCCCCGTGTCCCTCTCAAGTTCCAGGGTGTAGAGCCAATGCCACATCACATCACACCATCCTCATCCCCCACCTACCTTGTGCTTCACACCAGGTTTTGGAGATAAAGTGGGCTTGGGATTCCTAGGTCATTGTGGCTCTGGCATAAAGACGTTAGGAGCAGGGCTGAGAGCCAAGAAAGGGGGCTGGCCAGGGACCAGTGAGGGACATTTGGGATAGACTGAGCTCTGGCTGTCGCGAGGTACTGAGCTGCGGTGCCAGGACCCTTCATGGGCTACAGCCAGGAACATGGGTCAGCAGTCGGCAGGCTCCAAAGGGAGGTGAGGGTAGCACTGACCAAAGGCCCAGCCGACCTAGCCCTGAGAACATCTGCCTATCGGATCTTTACAGTGAGAGTCCTCTCCTGTCCTGTGTGGTTAGGTGGCCGACACTTGGCTGCAGCTAGAGCGAGGCCCTCCAGTCTCCTTGCAGGGGTCTGGGCCAGAGTGCAGGGAGGGTCTTGTGGCAGTGAAGGGCCTGCCTAGAGGCTGATGTAGTGTAGGCTGGGGAGGAGCACATGCAGAAGCAAGCATGGAGCATGGGCCAAGTGGCATGTGGTTTGCTGTGGAAGTGCAGGTTCCTGAAGGACAGCAGGAGACAAGTCTGGAAAAAGGAGTAGGCATAGAATCAAGTCACCTGGGGCCTTGAATGCCAGGCCAGGAGTTTGAACTAAATCCTTCAGGGCCAGCCAGTGAAGGTTTCCAACAGGTCAGAGTATCATCAGAAAGCCTCTCTGGCTGCAATATGGAGGACAGATTAGAGGGGATGAGACCAGAGGTAGAAAGACTATGCAGTCCTCAGGACTGCCCTAGCAGCTAGGTGGGCATCAGTATTCCCATTTGTAAGATGAGGAAACTGACGGCTCAGAGAAGTAGCTCGGGTTGCCTGAAGCCACGTGTTAGACACTGGCAGCACTGGGAATCACACCTGGTTTAGCCTGTTTGCAAAGCAAGTGCTCTCATTCACCCCGCTAGCAGGGAGACAGACCATTCAATCAGGAGAGAGAGAGAGAGTGTATGTGTTCCCTCCTGCTCAGCTGGCCTGTTGCCAGGTTCCCTACCCTGAGACAGGATGAGGGGTGCGGTCGTCCCCCTAGCCTCACCCACACCCTCACCGGGCCTGACTGGTTTTAGCTGGAGCCACTGGTGAGGGCTGCCCGGGCACCATCTCGTAAACACCAATTTAATGCTGCAGGCACCGTGCCAGGACCGCCTGCCCAGTAAGCGATGTACCAACCCAGTGGCCACAGATGGGAGATTAGGTGGACCCTCGGCTGCCTGCCGGCTGGAAACTCAAGGCAGCTGGCACAACAGCCACAGGCTGGCAGACAGCCCCAGGGTACAGGGTGGGCGTGGGGAGGTGACCTTGATACCTGGGCCTTTGGAGTCTTGCCAGTTTCTTCAGCTGTTCTAACCTTCAGAAGAGAGTCTGGGCCTGTCCTACCAGCCTCCTCCATGCTGGGGTCAGCTTCTAAGCAAAGGTTGGTGGCTTACCCCACTGATAGGAATTGCAGACCCCACTAGGGCAGGCCTGGGGATTTGGGCATAGCCAGCTCGGCTGGCTGTGGGGAAGGAGGTGGCTGGAGATAGTACTGGAAGGACTAAACAGTACCCCCAAGCCATGGTAGGGTTGGCAGCTGCTTCCTAGGGATCTATCTGCTGTGCTGATGTCCACTTACCCTTTCCAGGCTTCTTTTTCTCTGACCTGTCCTAGACGTTGGTTTCCTGTGACCCCAGTGGTCACCTCAGATGTTCCTCTGAGCCCAGCTTGCCAAGTGTTGCTGGCCAGGCTGGGCCTGAGCTTGTTGAGTCCTAGGTCTTATCTTACCTCTTCCCTTAGGGCAGCAGAGCTGGTGGCCCAAGTCAGCTGGTAGAGGGTACAAAGGTCTTTACACTTTGGAGGATAGACCTTGGCATGGAAAGCTCCCATCCTTTACTCCCAACTCAGAAGAGTAGTCTCTAGCCTACGAAGCCACAGTCCCAGTGACTATGCCACCAGCTGGGATCCAGGAGGATCAGAATGAAGGGAACTCCCCAAGGAGGTGGCAAGACCAGCAAGACCACCCACCTTCCTTGACTTGGAGATGTGCAGGGAAGGAAGCCTGTTTATGACTAATTTTATGAATGAGTTCTGGAAGGGACCTGGTGCCTGGGCTGACCTATCTTCTCCTCATACCTAGCAGATCCAATTTGCCTGGGCAGGAAGTGCTTGTTCCTGCCGTCAGCCCATGTGTCTGGCCATTGCTCTGCAAGGCTGACGTCTCTGTAGGCAATAACCATCCCTCAGCAGGGACTGGGCTGACAATTTAGTTCTTGCTGTATGATGCCTGGGGGATGGGAGGAAGAAGAAGTGTTCTATAAGGTGAGTGCCAAAAGGGGCCAGGGCATCAAGTCTAGGCCATCTCCATGAACTCTCAGGAGTAACCTTCTCTCATTAGCCCATCAAGTGGTTTTCTGAACCTGAGAAGGGGAGATCTGGGGGAAAGGCAAGCAGAACAGCAGGGGGAGGACAGAGACCCTCTCTGACCCTGGCCTTCTGTGGGATGAGGGTATGGGGGGCACTGCACCATGCAGCAGACAGTCGGCCAGAAATTGCTGTCTCTCCGGGAGTTGGTGGCGGGGGCAGACAAGGCAGCAGGCTACCGATGCTTGGCTAGTTAACAGTTTCAGAAACTCTGACTTGGAGGCTTCCCTGGCCGATCTGTGCATGTGATGTTTGGACTCACCATGAAAGAGGCTGGAAGGAGAGAAGGTGACTGTGAGCAGGAGGCTGGGCAAGCCCCCCAGAGTCTCCCTGTTTGGGCTGAGCAAGCCCCATGTTCTGCACAGGCCTACCTGGAATCCTTCTACAAGTTCTGCACCCTACTGGGCGGGACCACAGCTGATGCCATGTGCCCCATCCTGGAGGTGAGTGCCTGCCCACCCTCCTGCTGGCTGGTCTCTGGGGGAAGACAGGCCTGGGGGATGTCCTGCCAACTGACTGGCCCCTGCCTTCCTCCCCTCCCTCTCTCCTTGCACGTGTACTGGCCCCACAGTTTGAAGCAGACCGCCGCGCCTTCATCATCACCATCAACTCCTTTGGCACAGAACTGTCTAAAGAGGATCGTGCAAAGCTCTTTCCACACTGTGGGCGGCTCTACCCAGAGGGCCTGGCCCAGCTGGCTCGGGCTGATGACTACGAACAAGTCAAGAACGTGGCTGACTACTACCCGGTGAGTGCCCTGGCTACAGGACAGTGGGTGAGCGTATTGGCACCTACATACCCACACCCAACAATGCCCTTATGCTCATGCTTCCCACCACTCCCCTGGGCCAGGAGTATAAGCTGCTCTTTGAAGGAGCAGGGAGCAACCCCGGAGACAAGACCCTGGAGGACCGATTCTTTGAGCATGAGGTAGGTGCCAGGCCTGCCCGTCACAGGGAGGGGTTGGTGGCTCAGGCTTCACTCTGCGGTCACGGCCACATGCACACTGTACCTACCTCTGTCCACAGGTGAAACTGAACAAGTTGGCCTTCCTGAACCAGTTTCACTTTGGTGTCTTTTACGCCTTTGTGAAGCTCAAGGAGCAGGAGTGTCGCAACATTGTATGGATTGCCGAGTGCATTGCCCAGCGTCACCGCGCCAAGATCGACAACTATATCCCCATCTTCTAGTGCCCTGGCCCAAGGCTCCCCATAAGTGTGTGTGTGTCTGTGCTGTGACCGAGGCTCCAGCTCACCTGCCTGTTCTGGGGGTAGCACATTGTCTTAGTGGCTGCCCAGTTTCCCTGACACTCTGCTCTTGGGCCTGAAAAGAGGCTGAGTACCTGTTCTCCCCACCAAGGATGGATGGACCAAGGCCCCACCTCCAGATCAAGGAGGCCCCTCAGTCCTGTTTACAGCCACTGACATGTCTGAGAAGCATGTGGTCACTTTTGTGTCCTTCCCTAACCTGAGAATCACTGGGGGCAACATGAGCCTCCTCTCTCCTTTATGGGTCAACCCCAGAGACATGGCCCAGGGGAAGGATAGTGTGTGTCTTTGAGGCATGGGGGTGCATCCCCCTCCTTCAGCTCTGCCCTTCAACAATAAACTGCCCTCTCCAAACCTGGCTGTCTGCTGTCTCCTTTGGGTCCTAGGTCCTCTTCCTGACTCCCAACTTCCTTTAGGTGCACCCTTACTGAGCCCACTCCCACCTAGCCTAAACCTTCTTCTTCCCTCATCAGTCACAGTCGGCAGTTCCAGGTTGGCCCTCTCCTGTGCAGCCGGATTCCTCAGGGTTGGGGGGGTGGGGTCACTGGAGGATAGCCCCTTTCTTACCTGGAGGCTTGGGGCCTGGCCCTGGCGGGACCCCAGGCCTCCCTGTTTTCCCTATTTGCTTCATTGAGCCCCACCACTCCCTGGGCCAGGGATCTTCACCCCCATTTCACTCTGATGGAAACCCAAACCTATGGTCTGCCCAAAGTCAATGAAGGGGGTAGGTGTGAACCACAGAGCCTGTGCCCAGAGCTTCGGCCCCCATGCTGAGCTCTAGACATTCCCCAGGCAGTTCCTGATACATCACAATAGCCACAGCCTGTCACCTCCAAACACAGCATCTCCGTTCTAGAAGAAATAAAAATGTCTTTATTTTAAAAATGGCAATCAGGCAAGTAGGGTATGCAGGCTCCCTGTGGCTTGGAGGGCTTAGGGTGGGTGGTTGGGGTCCTAATTCTTGAGCCAGTCAAGAAACAGTTGGGATTCACCTTATGACTCACAGCACTGAGGCTCTAGTGCTGAGAAGTAATCCTGAGGGGATCCCCAACCCACCTGGCCCTCTTTAGTTTGCAGAGGTACTATCTGCGGGATCCTGTCAAAGGCTACAGCTACAGCTTACACTAAACTCTCCATCTACCTGGGTTCTCCAAGCTGTCCCGGAGGGTCTATTTAGGCTCTTGAAGCAGTAGAGAAGACTGGAGGTTCACTGAGAAGCCACAGCCTCACCAGACCTGGCAGTGGATGGGCTGGGGTCCTTTAGGACAGGCTCTAGGGCAGACTTGGGGGTTGCAGTGCCCAGGGGAGGTCCAAGGGCTCATGGGACCTCCCGGAGCAGCTAGACCATATGTGCATACTGCTCATTGGGCTTCCATGGGGGAAGGGCCCAGGTTTGGGTCTGGGTCCTGGACTGCATCCTGGGTAGGGGTACGGCTGGGTTGGCCAGGCCACAGTGCTCTTGGCAGACAGGGACTGATGAAGAAGGTCTGCAGGAAGCGGCGCCGCAGGCCCTCAGGAAGGTAATGGTGGATGAAATACATGAGCCCCAGGCCACGGCCCGGGTAATAGCGGCGGCGTGGCTGTGCTGCCAGCAGTGCATCAATGATGGCATCTACAACTGGGTTGAGATCGGGCAGTGCCAGGCTCAGCGAATGCAGGAACTGCCTGTGCGAGTGCTCGACATAGTCCTCGCCATAGGCCTGCAGCAGCTCTTGCGGCAGGTTGGCAAGGAGCAGGTGCTTGCGTCGCTCCCAGTGGCTCACATTTTGCAC